TTGCGAGGCCCAGAGGAGAATGAGGAGCAGAAAGTTAAAAGTAGGGGGAAAAGGACTTTGAAAATAGAATCATCTAGGTTCTAATCCAGGCTCTCCCATGGCTGGTGTTGCTGTAACTGTGAGTTGCAGTTTCTCAGTAGCAATGGAAGCAAAACAAAATAGGGAAAACTTCACAGACTTCCAGGTAGATGACTAAGTAATCGGATCACATCAGTGAACAAAAAGATAATTGGTATTGCATCGAGCGAAGTAAGGTATGGGTTTACAAATAAATAACTCATAACCATAATTAAAAGGTAAATGATTTAGTATTGTTAGGTAATGAAGTCTGATGTGCAGCCTCTCAGAAGGCCCATCCTTGGTGCAGGGGAGAGCGCAGAAGTCCAGTGTGGCTAAGGCAGGGACACTCGGGACCGTGTCAGTCCAGACTGTGACCACTCTTAGCATTTCCCGTTTCTTCTGAACTCAGTCTTCCAACGTCAGGAGGCTGACTTGCTACTTCAAACTACTTCAAACAAACTTCTCCCTATAGCTCGACACTATAACTCAAAGGGGGTTCTTTCACTGAAATTTCTAGGCAAGTTACAAAATAGCCATTGACATTTCTTGCAAATAATGTGGTTGGAGTGTTTAAGGTCAGGGTCCTCTTTTGCTCTTCACATTTTAAATTTCATGAAGCTTTTGGGCTCACTATCCTTTATTCCTTTATTTATATCCTTTATTTTGTTGCAAAACAAAAATGAAACTCAGCTCACTAGACCCTCTTGTACAGCCCAAGCTCCGCTTTGCTTCAGTCCAGTTGGTTAGTATTTTAATCCTATGCCTCTCCATCCCAACCCTATTCTCAGGACTGGAACTGTGTAGGAAAAAAAAATAAATTGCTTCTCACTTTAGGCTGAGGGAATATTTGCACATTTAGGAAGCAGAAATTAGGGCTAGTAAATGGATTACAATTCATGAGCCAGTTCAGTTTAAAAAAGTGTATTCAAAATGCCTATACCACTTTCACTGAGAGTGGTTAGCTGGAAGAGTAGAACATTTCCCTACAAAATTTCCCTGTTTTGGAAATTAGAGTATATTGCCCTCAAGTCTGCCTCACTTAGTGGCAAAATGTTTCAATTTTACTTTAAAGTTGTTTTGAATATACAATGTGCTGTTGGGTGTGTGTTCACCTAGGTCACATTTTTTAGGAACAATTCCTTTAGTGATGAATTTATACTGCAGATGTAGTATTTGAGCAAGATAAGTGCAGTTTAACATCACAGGTGTTGTTACAATTATAAATGTTGGAACTTTTGTATTTGTAAAATTTGGTACTTAACAAAATGATGATTGCAATGGGTTTTCGTGAGTGAAGTTGATGTTATATAGGAGATGTGAATGGTCTCTGATGGCCAAAGTGTTCTTATTCCTCTGTGGTGTGAAACAGGAATCTCAGGAATGCTACCCAAGACTTAGTGCTAAAGGGTCCTGTTTTGCACCCAATGTTTTGAAGGTCTGTCAATGTGCCTGAATGGCCAAGTTGTGTGAAAATAGCACACTTATTGGTGACTGCTCATAGCTATTATAAAAAATGAATATACCTGTATCCCCAATGTGTCATGCTTTTCCAGGTCAATTTGCAATGTTATCCTAGCCAGTCTCCTGGATGCTGGCTACAAGAGCATTTACCCAGTCAAGCTGGGGATCAGACAGAGATGTTATCAGTATCACACTCTTTCCTATTTCTAGTCCCTCCCCTCATCTCCATCCCCAAGCAAATACTATTTGTAACATTAACACAGATACGATGTTTGACAAAATGAGGTATAAGAATAGAGAAAGTTTAAGGGCGTGGAGAAAATGGATATAGCTATTCTCTTCCTTGTTCTTAGTTTGGTGGCAACTTGATAGGGTTGGTGCCTGGCCAATCGCCCACATTTGAGTCCTGAAATTCACTCACTTGCAATCTCATCCAAAGCACTAATCTTTCTATTCTTGTTTCCTCTTGCAAAATGAATTGGGACAGTGAACCTACCTCATGGGATGCTTGAGAGGATTAAGTACATGAACATTTATAAAGGATTAAGCAGAAAGGCAATAAAAAAATATGTTGACCTCATTTAATTACTATGTTTTTTAAATAAAAATAGCCCGAGAAATTATCTCTTATTTTGTTTGAAGTGATTCTCTGACCCAGGCTTTGTCTGCAACATTTATCCATTGAACAAATGGATATAAAAATCCTTTCATTGAAATTTAGAACTTTTTTTAAAGACTTATTTATCTATGAATATAAAAAATGGGTACAGGCCAGAGATGCGGGGGGTGAGAGGATTCACCAGAGACAGAGTGGGGAGGAGAACAGGCAGATTGACTGAAATTCACTGCTGAGGGGAGCAGCAGGTGGGTCAGGAGAGGTCCGCCATACCATGTGGTTCACCCTCCTGGCTGGGGATCGAATTTGTGCTGCAGTGGCTGTGGATAGCGTCACAGTGCTTTGCTTTTAACTCCTTGCAGGGAGGGGCTGAAATTTTAAAACTTTAAGTACTCTAACATCCTGCAATCTGAATTTATGTCTACTATATCATTTCTCTTGATATTTTTTAAAATGACATTGCCAATGAATTACATATTATTCTTTAGTAAATACTGTAAAGAATTTTATATCTTTTTTTCCATATTGAAGATCATTCAGGCTTACCTACAGTTAGAATTTCATGTTATATGCTTCAAGTTTATTCGTTCACATATATTTAAAAATACGGAAGTCCTAGGAATCTCTACAACCTGATGATTGTAATATATAATGACAATGTGTCAATGTGCATCAAGCATTTCAAAATTGTTCCTATCAAGTAATGCTATTTCTAAAACTTTGTCCTAATAAATATTTTTTTACATAAATATGAAAAGGTGGAAGTCACCCAGATTACAAGAGGAAAAAGGTTCATTTAATTATGGTACTCAATGATAATGCTCTCAGTTTTATACTAGGAATAAATAAATATATATGTTCACTAAGGGGTATATAATGATAATTAAAACACTATTGTGATAGTTCCAAATGTAATGTACTGAAATGTCCATCTATGGTGAGGTTTATAGTAATGCATGTATGAAATATTACAAATTAATAAGGAGGTATAAACTATTGCCGCACAAACAACATAGATGAATTCCCAGGGCATAAATTTGAATTTAAAAAAGCCAGATAACATATATTCCATCTGTTGTTTTTTTTTAATTTTTCAAAAATGCATAACACTAAAATCAATCATGGCATAGTATTAATCGTCATACTAGAGTTGATTATAAAATAGGATAGCATGAAGCTATTAAAACACATTGAAAAATATTCATAATTTAATAAAAGGCAGAAATAGCATATGTGTGTGTGTATGACCCTATATGGAAAAATACATGTTTATGAGCCCATTCAAGATGTGCAGAGGTGTGTAAGTCAGGTTCAATCAGAAACACGGTATACTCAGATCATATTAGGGCGATTAGAAGAGGCTTTGTTTAAAATTCACCAGCAGGTATGGACGAGCCACAGGGATAGAGCAGCAAGAGAGTTTTGATGACCCCTTGACCTAAACTGAGAAAGGGAGGAGCATTAACAAAACGTAGGACACTATCACGTGTGCATCTGTCATTGACAGAAACCCTGCTGAGTCACGCATGACTGTTGCTCTAAATGAAGCCTTCCCTTCCAGGGAAAAAGTGGAAATATTCCAAATATGCCAAATGTTCATGTAGCAATCACTAGTGTCTTAGAAGAGACAAATTTTATTTTCTTTGCTTTTTATTTTGTAATCAGAAACAATGACTATTTCCATCTATTCACTCCAAAAGCACATGAAAATCCATGTACTTTCCTAAAATGTGTACAAATAATAAATACTTTGACCAATAAAATTTTTCAGTAGGAAGATGCTTGGAAATTGTAATCCCCTTTTTCAATATATAGCCCAATAGATATTCAAGTTCCTCGCTGATTTATAAAGAAAATCTTGTCTTTAAATTTTAGAACCAGAGACATGTCTTAATATTTCATGTGATCACATTAATTGGCAGGTATTCAGAAATCAAACCTAGTCACTATTGATGTTGTCAAAACAAGACATTGATGGCTTTATCTTAAAAAATTTTGAAACTATGGTATCATCAACTGAAAGGCTTTACCATGTCCAAAGTTTCCAAATTTTTCACGAGACATTAACAGGAATTATCAATGACCAATGGGTTTTGGTAATAATGTTTTATTTTAGTTTGGGGGGTTTTTACAGGTTTTTTTTTTTAACATACAAACAATGAACATATAAGGCTATGTTACAAGTTTTCAGTCAAACTGATTTCAAAGCAGGTTGTTTTCCTAAGTAGGTGAAAAAAGACGTAGAACTCACTGATATTTCATTTTCTCTGTTGTCTCATTTCACTAATAAAATATGAGGCTTTCCCTATTGCAAGCTCCATTTTACTTCTTAAAAATATGCTAATAAATGACATAAGTGCTATTCCCTTTTTAGTAGGCTTCAAACTTCTCTGTTTTCTTAAAAAAAAAAACAAAACTTGCTCTCAACATCAGTTCTCTGTGACCCATTTATTTTACATTGGCACATTCCACACTATGTCCATAATGTGAATTATTTGGCAACCTCGACAATTTTATGTAGATAGCAATAAAAAAGTGATACGGATTCTCCTATCTTTCCTTTATACTTAGAAAGCAAACTCCACTATTAAAAAGTAAACAGGGCAAACTCTATTACAAATGTTACTAAGTCCAGCTGAATTCAAGATAATCATAACTGCAGAACATATATCAAGGAATCATGAATTGACACACCCACACAAGAATGCTATTTATAGCCTGATTACTGCTTCTCCATTTGTCTCTATCCAGTAGATTTCAGCTCCAAAAACATAATTGGAAACAGCTAGTAAAATGTTGACAGAAACAGTCTTAAAACTTCCTCTGACCCAATTTTGAGAGCCAAAGAAGAAGCAGCCTGGAGTTAGTCTGTCACATCCAGCCACTGCTGTGGCTCAGTGAACACTTTATTTTCCCACTTGAACTTCAGCTCTTCTGCAAGATCGCTCCTGCCGATCTTGCGCAGGTGACGAGCCAGCAGGCGAAGTTTATCAGCAGAATTTGGAAGCGATTTTTTCCAGAAGGAAAGCAGTTCGTGGATTTGTTCTGTGAGGTCATCAGGGTTCTTCAGTTTGATCAGCTGCACGGTGCTGCGTCGGAGAGGGAGAGATGAGGACAGACCGGTGGCGTTTTCCTCTGAGAGCTCCTCAGCCAGCCAGTAGAGCAGGTTCTCCCACAGCGCTTCTGCAGGGCACGGGAGTGTTAGGGCCTTTGGGGAGCTACTCATTGACCCGCAGGAAGCCCCCAAGCTCTGTGCTTTGAGCTTTGAGCTGCACAGATAGCCGAGGCTGCTCAAGTGGGCACTGGAGCTTTGAATCCTTGTTATCTCTGGTATCATTTCCTGCCAGAATCATCTGCACAGGCTTACAGTTGTCTTCAAATTTCAATTCCCCTGATGGCCAGGGGGTCATGTTAACATGGCTCTTAGGCCTCAACATTTGGCTCACTAAGTGGGTGGGGACAGAATTGATTATTTTGCCAAGCTCCCAGATGGTGCTGACACTGTGGTCCCTCAGCCTATCTTGAGCAGCAGTTTCTTCGCAATCATTTCACTCTTTACACTGTTGTTGAGGGATATTATGTACTCTTTTTTTATATATTTATTTATTTATGCATACAGCACTGGGGTACAGGCCAGAGGTTCAGGGGCAGTGAGAAGATTCGCCAGAGACAGAGTGGGGAGCAGAAGTACACTGCTGAGGGGAGCAGCGGGCGGGTCAGGAGAGGTCTGCCAAGCCATGTGGTCACCTCCGGGGCGGGCAGGGATTGAACTCATGCTGAAGTGGCTTTAGCTTCTTAGTGCTGGTGCTTTAACCCACTGTGCCACCAGAGAGGGCCTATGTACTCTTTTTAACTCTACTGAAATATGATTTTCCAGATCCTTCCCAACCACTACTTGTAACAATTGACTCTCAGTCTGCATCTTCTCTGGCTTCCATACAATATGTTTTGCTTCCCTTCTCCCGTGGCCTAGCCTGGCTCTCCCCTGCCCACTCTTGCCTCATATCCCTTCCCCCTTTCTAGATCCTCTTCCTCCTAATTCTGCTGTGTACTGCTTCCTAGCTCAGATGTCTTCTCTCTGCCTCTACTCTCAATGAATTCATTAGCTCTAACTGCCTAACCACCTCTTCTGTGTGAAATATCCCAAAGTCCACTCCTTTTTTTTTTTCATTTTTTTCAGTGTCCTAAATCCTGCATTACTCATCTCCAAATAAACTTTACCACAGCATAGACCACAGCCAGCTGAAACTCTATCTCTCTCAAATCAAAATCAACTTAGTTAATTGGATTGTTTGTCACTCTCTCTAGCTGACTTTCACTCTATTTACTTCCTCAGTAAACACAATCACTCTACTGAGTTAGCTAAAACATGTCATGTTATTCATGTTATTCATACTTCTGAAAGGTGATTTGTTTTTCTTTTTAAGGATTTATCTATCCATGCTTCCAGAGCTGGGGTACAGGCCAGAAGTGCAGGGGTGGTGAGAGGAGACAGGGTGGGGACCAGAACAGGCTGACTGATGAAGTACACTGCTGAGGGGAGCAGCGGGTGGGTCAGGAGAGGTCTGCTGCACCACGTGGGTCACCTCAGGGCGGGGATCAAATTCATACTGAAGTGGCTTTAGCTTCTTAGTGCTGTGCTTTAACCTGCTTTGCCACCAGGGAGGGCCCTGAAAGATGGTTTCTTATTCCCGGTATCCAAGTCCACCTAGTCCTAACTCTACACATACCTGATATTACTCCTCCTTTCCTTACTGACTCAATTTTGACCTCCTAACTCTCATGTCTTCAGAGTATTTCAGGTGTGAAGGTTCTCATGGGTGTCACTGCAATCAATTTTAAACTCCCTCTGGTCTTTAAAGACTGATCTTATCTGTCTCTTGTTAGTAATTTGCAGATAGATCCTGTCTATTGTCTAAACTTCTTGACACTTAAAGCTTACTTTAATCTAAGCTCACTACTGTCACCACCTTGCAGTGGTGGGGTGGGCATTGGTCATTGTGATCAGGTTGGGTAATGACCTAGACATCTGGTCCTTATTTTTTTGGTTCTAGATTTATGTTTTGTTCTTTTTTTTTTTTTTTTTTTTTTT